CCTTCTCCCGTATCATCAACTCAGTGTCGTTCCGTGGCCGGCCATAGCCCCCTATTGGCCTAATACGTTTTGCGTGAACTGCCGACGCAACGGCGTGCAGAACACTCCGGAATTTCGGAGGCCCAATTCAGGTACGCGGCGGCCTGCGCCGCGTGGCGGCCCCCGACGGCCTAACTTTTCAGGACCACCTCCGCCACGAAGGAATTTTCCCGCAACCCGTCGCCCACAGTGCCCCGGCCCCAGCGGACCATGAGTCCCTTGCGCACGCTCGCCTAATTGCATTCATATCCTTAAGACTCCCCCACTTTCCCCAAAAATCCTTGGCACACCCCTTTTCGCACTTCTAGGCCCACACTCCACTCCGATCAGGAAGTCGTGCTGGGCGTGAGGTTCTGGACGTCACATATTCCTAGACTTGAATGCGTAGAAGCTTTCAGCCCGAAACCAAAATGCCCTAGTGTGATTGAGCCACCCGCCCTAAGCCTACCTCAACCCACATGCTCTCGATACCCCGACTCTACCCGGCCTCACATCCCCAAGTGCTAGGTTACAGAGTGGCACGACCCACTCCAGAATAACCCCCACCTGCTGGACTACAGGGCGAAGCGACTCACCCCGGCTCCAACCAACGTCGTCTGAATACCAACTTATCAACAGACATTGGAGTGCCTTCCACCCTCGGCAACTCCCCAGATCTCTCTACCAGGCCTCTTGCTCCCGAACAACTCGGGTCATAGGGCAGCGCGACCACGCCCCAGCCCCGGCCAGCGTTGTTCTGGCCTCGTCCATTCACAAACCTCTAAGTTCGTGAGCATCAGCAAACTCACCCTAAGTAAGAAACGTCAGAATCTCTGGAACCACCCAATTAGTCCCATCCATTATACTAAACAGTCGTCAAGAAACCTTAGCTCTTCGGTGGATTCGTGAAGTTTTTTTTCCCGGACGGCCTGGCCGTGCAAGGACCAAGGAAGGTCCTAGCAAAAAAACAAACAAACAAAAACAATAAAGAAACTCCGGAAAAAAAACTATGTTATGCCTAAAACTAAACTGAACAACTTTTGCCTCAGGGTCACATCGAAATTCTTTACCAAATTAAAAATAAAAATAAAGTTAATATATATATACACACATTTTAGCCCGACCAGGCAAGTGGCCCCGGGCCACTCTGGTAGCCTAGGTGGAAACATACCGTACGATATGGCATCTGAGCTGCACATGTGAGAAGCGCTCGTTCGATCCTCTTAGAATAGAAATCATCCTAAAGCTAGTCAAGCGGAGGAGGTAAGTACCTGCTGCCTGTTGGCTGAATTTTGTACACATGTAATAACTGTTTGATGAACTGAGTTGAGATCTCTAATCAACTCGAAGAGCTTGAACAAAGAGTCTGAATCCTGTATGATATGACAAGGATATGACAACGAAGGAGGTATACTGAAACCAACAGTACCTTACCCATATATTGGCTGCGGGCAGTTTCGGAGACCCGGAACGGAAACGGGCCGCCGATGAAATTGATCAACGGCGGCACGTACCCGCTCGCCTTCCCGGTAACCCGCCACGGAATTGATTTTCAAACAGGGTAAGGTACTGGAGGTTGAAGCTGATCGTCTGCGATCCATTCATTGCAAAGAATGCCTTTATTGTTTTGTTCGTTGTTTTTTTTCATTGCAACGAATGTCAGTCGCATCAACTTGAGAGTCTTCAGACCGACTAAGGTGGTACATCAATCGACCTATCATCCGACCGTTTGCAGGGACAAGGAAGGTCTCTCTCCCTAGGATAGATGGTGTTCAGAGCATCGCCGCCGGGCAGGGCAACGCTGAAACACTGCCTACTGGTGTGCCCAGGTTACACAATCGATAAGTTAGTACAGA